AGGGTTAGGTTTAGGGTTTGGTTTAGGGTTTGGTTTAGGGTTTGGTTTAGGGTTAGGGTTACAGCGCGCTTCTGTCGGCGCGCTGTTGTTGGCGCGCTTCAGCGCTCATTTGTCGGCGCGGTTTTGTCACCGCGGTTTAGTCAGGCGCGCTTTTGTCGTTCGCGCATTTGTGGTGGAACCCTCTACCTCTTGCCAACAAATACACAAAAGCCAAAGCAAACGGGGGCAGCCTGGAAATCCAGTCCTTTTGTGTTGCTGTTTTGTCTCACCTCCGAAATGATTTCGGCAGGAACCGCCAGCTACGCCTCCACACGGCCCCCAAAAGGCCTCCTCTCCCGCCTCTCTTGACGTTCTACTCGAGTACATACGGTAAACTCCGCAGCCGGAGCACCCACCTACCTTCATCATTAGCAGGCAGTTTGCCGTGGAGTACATCACCCGGCCCAGACGTGACCTCCACAGCTGAACAGAGGCTGTAAAATGAGAGCAGCTTGTGAATGTGCACAAATAAATTAGAAGCTCTTTCCCTAGCCATCAATTATCGGTCATATGTATTCCAACTGAAACGATTTCCCCTCGTTAACATCACCACATTTTGAGCACTGCGGCGTTTCTAACATTCTGCCACGTTTGCTCTGAAAATCCTGCACCCACTCGATGGAGAGAGAGAGAGAGAGAGAGAGGGCTTGACTGGGGAAAGGAACAGACTGTCTGAATAAATGAAGCATAATACAAAGGTGGGGAACAACCTCTCCGCTTTGAGCTCTGGCAATTCTGCAAGGAAGCAATCATTTAAGGGAACAAAAGGCAGGGAGGAAGACAAAGAGAGAGAGAGAGAGAGAGAATGCATACACCAAGTCATTAATTAGGACCACTGATGAGCAATCATCTGATTTGAGTCATTAAATGTACACCCTTCCGCTTCTCTTACTGATCCGATGCTGAAAAACCAAAAGGAAAAAAGACCCCACTACTTCATTTTGCCAAGGAGCACGAGGGTTTCAGGACTATATGAGTCTGGGGTCTTTGCACTTATGTGTCGGGCTTAGGCGCCTGGAGAAATCTGCCAAGCTTCTCTGCCACTCCTACGAGACTGAAGCTCCCGGTGTTTAAAGGCTGCTGCCTGCAGCACCAGCCAATTTCTCACTCCCTCGGTTTAGAGGCCGGCTCCTCATGCGGGGGAACGCATGGCTCACGGGAGATCTTGCACAGCTTAAAGGGATCAGAGGTTCCATGCCAGGAAAAAGGTGTTTATTATGTTGCAAAACGAAGACTATGATAAAAGGAATTTTAACACGTCCAGGGCTCCAATTCTTAGGTGTGCTCAGGAAATCCCACTGTTTTCAGTGAAATTTGCTTTTTAACATTAATATATAGAATCAGGTCGCAAATCTGACTGCTTTCAGAGTCGGTAATGACTTCCCAAAAATTGGTCTTGTCTGTTATCATGGGATAGGATTGCAGAAAGAATTGCTGTGGAAAAGAAGAGTTAGAACTGCAGTGAAACAAGCACTTTTTTTTCTTTTCTTGATGTGGAATATTTTGTTACTTGCTTTACAAACCCCCTTTTTTAATATGTGTTATCCAAGACTAGCAGAAATGTATTTATTCTGATTGATTCAAAAGTACGCTTTGCTTTTAGAGTTCATGTAAATATGGACAATTTGGAAAATATATTCTCCAATGTAACGATTTAAAACAAAGCAATCTCTTTTGTCCAATTACACTACAAAAACAAACAAATAAACTGCAAACCAATAGAAATGCAGACCTCTCTGCTCCGGACCTCTGCGGAAGTCACCAAGATTAACACGGGTGGGCGTTGCATCAAGGAAGTACAAAACATGTTTTTTTTAGCAGAGCAGACCTTTAGGATGTGAGATGATAATTGGAAAAGCTCTACGTCCTCGCAAATTAGTAAAATGTACGATAAAAACGTAAAAGCAAGAAAGAACATATTGTTTAGTTTTAATTGAAAAAAAACTGTCATCTTATGTAAGAACAAATAAATATTATTTGCAGTTCTTAATTTAGACTGTATCTTTGTGTGTTTGTCCAACCCTCTTCTGTATTTTTTTTAAAAATAAATATGGGTATGAGAGAGGAAGGAAGGAAGGAGGGAAGGAAGGAAGGGAGGGAGATGGAGAAAAGAAGGAGCGAGGGATGGAGGGAGGAGATGGAGAAAGGGAGGGCAGGGAGGAAGGGAGATGGGGAAACGAAGGAGGGAAGGAGGAAGGGAGGAGATGGAGAAAGGGGGGAGGGAGGGAGGGAGGAAGAAGATGGAGAGAAAAAAAAGGAAGGAAGACGGACGGGAGGGAGGGAAAGCTGCCAAGAAAATGGTGCAGTGCTAAATCTTTTTCTTCCCAGTGAACGGAGAATGAGATGCAGTCCTCTCTTTTTTCTACTGAGGAGAGCCGCTTTCTGCAACACCTACTCAGACCAGCAAGAGGGACGTCGTTATGCTGCAGATCGAACCCCATAAAAAAAAAACACCAGGCTGTTGTTCAGCCATTGTTCGCGAAACAAAAACACGAAGGCTTCTTCCTTCAGTGAAGTTCACCAACAGACAGAAGCAGAGGCAGAAAGCTCCCTGTAGCTCAGAAGTGCAGCCGAGCCCCTCGCCCTTCTCAGGAAGAGATGCCATCAGTCCTCACAAGTGTCCTCTGGGTAACATTAGGCAGACAGACAGCTGTAATGCCGCTGCACTCCAAGCGCATAACAGCCACTCACAGATGCTTGAATCCCTCTCTCTCTCTCTCTCCCTCCCTGGCTTCCGCTGGCTGCTTTTCATCCCTGGCCATGCCAAGCTCTTAGCAAACTTAGCCAAGCAGCTGTGGCGAAGGAGAGCGTGAAAAGAGGGCAGAAGCATCTCAAACAAAGGACAAGGGCCACCACCGCATGGAGGCTCTCCTTCAAGTGCTGCGTGATCCATATAGCTGTAATCCAGTGTTTCTCAACCTTGGCAACTTGAAGACGTCCGGACTTCAACTCCCAGAACTCCCCAGCCAGCATTCGCTGGCTGGGGAGTTCTGGGAGTTGAAGTCCGGACGTCTTCAAGTTGCCAAGGTTGAGAAACACTGCTCTAATCAATGGGATGTTGCAGGAATAGAGTCCGCCATATAGAGAGGGGAAGGCTGGCTTTAAAGCTCAGGGAGAGATAGTGAAGTGGTGGGATGGGAGAAACGCCAGATTTAATGACCTCCCTTTTGTCAAGAAGATCTGGTAACTCTGTGGGAATTGTAGACTCTATAATCGCTCCCTATCTCTTTAGAACCGCATCTCTCGCGTTTACCTAGCCGCCTGTTGTTTTTAACCTCAAATTCCGTATCTGGGAGCCTTGCTCCCCGTCTCCAATTTCAGATGGAGAGCAGCTAGCTGCAATTATTCGGCGAATATGCCTATTGTCAGAATCACTCTCCTAATAATTGGCTCATATATTCTAGGAGGGTATAGAAGAGGGTAATTTCTACTTTAGGCCCTTTTAGCACCGCTGCAGCATTGCTGTTTTGCAAACCGCGAGAAGTGGAAATAAAACTGTCATTCTATATAACTCTTATTGTAGAAGCCTGCTCTACATAACAATCTCAAGATAATTGTATATTGTGGCAAGATATATTTGCTCGTAAAAAAAAAAGGGGCCTGCAATCGTGCATATATTTACCCAAGAGTAAATCCCAAAGAGTTTACTGAGACTTTCTTTGGCATAGATAATGCTCTGGTGGATGGTGCTATCGACCTCATTTGAGACGATGAGATCCATTTCCCTAGCAAGCTGCTTTCAAAATATCTGGTCACCACAGTCCCATCATCAGAGTATTCATCACCTTTATATTTCCCCTCCTATTAGAGAGCCGAGGTGGCGCAGTGGTTAGGGTGCAGTACTGCAGGCCACTTCAGCTGACTGTTATCTGCAGTTCAG